GCATTGTAATTAGAACTCTAGAGCACAAACTATAGTCTTATAAAGTGCTTTTGTTAATATTATAAAGGAAAAGCATTGAAGAAACAAAAACGGTAACTTTATTCCCTTAAAGCACTATTTAACATATACGAAAAACACTGTAATTAGAACTCTAGAGCGCAAACTATAGTCTTATAAAGTGCTTTATAATAAATAGAAAAGAAAAACAATAAACAAACAAAAGTGCAAACTTTATTCCCTTAAAGAACTATTTAACATACACGAAAAGCACTGTAATTAGAAGTCTAGAGCACAAAGTATAATCTTATAAAGTGCTTTATAATAAATAGAAAGGAAAAACAGTGAAGATACAAAAACGCTAACTTTATTCCCTTAAAGCGCTATTTAACATATGCGAAAAGCACTGTAATTGAAACTATAAAGCACAAAGTATAATCTTATAAAGTGGTTTATAATAAATACAAAGGAAAAATAGTGTAGAAATAAAAGCGCTAACTTTATTCCCTTAAATTACTTTTTAACATATACGAAAAGCACTGTAATTAGAAGTTTAGAGCACAAAGTATAATCTTATAAAGTGTTTTCTAATAAATAGAAAGGAAAAACAGTAAAGAAACAAAAGTGCAAACTTTATTCCCTTAAAGAACTATTTAACACACACGAAAAGCACTGTAATTAGAAGTCTAGAGCACAAAGTATAATCTTATAAAGTGCTTTATAATAAATAGAAAGGAAAAACAGTAAGGAAGCAAAAGCCCTAATTTAATTCCCTTAACGCACTATTTAACATATGCGAAAACCATTGTAATTAGAACTCTAGAGCACAAACTATAATCCTATAAAGTGATTTATAATAAATAGAATGGAAAAACAGTGAAGATAAAAAAACGCTAACATTATTCCCTTAAAGCGCTATTTAACATATACGAAAAACACTATAATTGAAACTATAGAGCACAAATTATAATCTTATAAAGTAGTTTATAATAAATACAAAGGAAAAATAGTGTAGAAATAAAAGCGCTAACTTTATTCCCTTAAATTACTATTTAACATATACAAAAAGCATTGTAATTAGAAGTTTAGAGCACAAAGTACATTCTTATAAAGTGCTTTATAATAAATAGAAAGGAAAAACAGTGAAGAAACAAAAGTGCAAACTTTATTCCCTTAAATAATTATTTAACATACACGAAAAGCACTATAATTAGAACTCTAGAACACAAACTGTAATCTTATAAGTTCATTATATTAAATAGAAAGGAAAAACAGTGAATAAACAAAAGCGCTAACGTTATTGTCTTAATGCACTATTTAACTTACACGAAAAGCACTGTAATTTTCTGTCTAGAGAACAAAGTATAATCTTACGAAGTGCTTTATAATAAATAGAAAGGAAAAACAGTGAAGAAACAACTGCTAACTTTATTCCCTTAAAGCACTATTTAACATATGCGAAAAACAATGTAATTAAAACTCTAGAGCACAAAGTACAGTCTTATAAAGTGCTTTATAATAAATAGAAAGGAAAACCAGCAAAGAAACAAAAGTGCAAACTTTATTCCCTTAAAGAACTATTTAACATACACGAAAAGCACTGTAATTAGAAGTCTAGAGCACAAAGTATAATCTTATAAAGTGTTTTATAATAAATAGAAAGGAAAAACAATGAAGGAACAAAAGTGCTAACTTTATTCTCTTATAGCGCTATTTAACATATAAGAAATGTACTTTAATTAGAACTCTAGAGCACAAAGTATAATCTTATAAAGTGTTTTATAATAAATAAAAAGGAAAAACAGTGAAGAAACAAAAGTGCTAACTTTATTCCCTTAATGCATTATTTAACGTATGCAAAAAGCCCTATAATTAGAACTCTAGAGCACAAAGTATAATCTTATAAAGTACTTTATAATAAATAGAAAGGAAAAACAGTGAAGTAAAAAAGAGGTAACTTTATTCCCTTAAAGCACTATTTAACATATGCGGAAAACACTGTAATTAGAACTCTAGAGCACATAGTATAATCTTGTAAAATGCTTTATAATAAATAGAAAGGAAAAGCATTGAAGAAACAAAAACGCTAACTTTATTTCCTTAAAGCACTATTTAACATATACGAAAAGCACTGTATTAGAACTCTAGAGCGCAAACTATAGTTTCATAAAGTGCTTTATAATAAATAGAAAGGAAAACAAATAAACAAACAAAAGTGCTAACTTTATTCCCTTAAAGAACTATTTAACATACACGAAAAACACTGTAATTAGAAGTCTAGAGCACAAAGTATAATCTTATAAAGTGTTTTATAATAAATAGAAAGGAAAAACAGTGAAGATACAAAAGCGCTCACTTTATTCTCTTAAAGCACTATTTAACAAATACGAAAAGCACTGTAATTGGAACTATAAAGCACAAAGTATCATCTTATAAAGTGGTTTATAATAAATACAAAGGAAAAACAATGTAGAAACAAAAGCGCTAATGATAACTCTTGATTTTGTCGTATTTTATAGCTTATATTTATTTATTTAATTATTTGTTTATGTCGAATTTTGATATTATTTATGTTAGTTTATTCTAATAATTGTATTCATTTCATCTTGTTTGTATAATATTAAATTATTAGTTTTAAGTGTAATTTATAATTATTTTGGTGTATAAATTAAATTAATTGATGTGTTTCTTGAATTATATTTAAGTATTTAATTTTAACTAAATTAATTTAATTTAATAAGTATTATTTATTTAAAGAAATGTTTAAAAGATGTTCATTATTTATATAGGTGAAATAATGCTTGAAAACTGATATGGGAGCCCAAAACTGGCCTTAAAAAGTAAAAAAATGGCTTTAGAAGCGAAAAAACAGACGCCGGCGTGAAAGTCAACAAACGTCAACGGTCAACGTCAGAAAGTCAACGCACAAAAGTCCAAGTCAACCAAGCACGGAAGACAAGCGACAGCCGCGCGGAAGGCGAGCGACGGCAACCACGGAAGGCGAGCGACGGTTGATACGAAAGGCAAGGGACGGCTGATATGGAAGCCAAGTGATGGCTGACACGGAAAGCGATGACGGCTGCACGGAAACTTTGGCATTGAAGTGAGCAAAGCGATGACGGCTGGCACGGAAGGCAAGCGGCGGGTGACACGGAAATATGAGCGGAGCGGAAAGCCATACGTGGAAGTGAGGGAAGCGGCGGCTGCATTAATTCTCGCTGCATTTATTGCCGCTGGTCATCGGTGCATTTACTACGCCGCCACAATAATTCCTACACAGAATCCCGCTGCATTTATGTCTCCTGCACCCTCAGCTCCTGCATTTACTACACTCTCCCAGCTCCGTTAATTAAAATCCTGCACTACTTTTTTGGCCAATTTTTGGTTATTTTTGTGTAATTTTTATTCTAGACCCTTCTAGAAAATAGGTAGTTATTAGTAGTTATATTAGTAGCTATTTTTAGAGTTAGTTATTTATGATTATTTTTTGAGTTAGTTATTTATGGTTATTTTTAGAGGTAGTTAGTAGTTATTTTTAGAAGTAGTTATTTATTGGCGGTTGTAACCGCCAAGCTTTTAGAAGCTTTTCCCCCTATAAATATCCCCTCCAATTGTACCATATATATATATATATATACACACACCATATATACACAATAAATATACATTCTATTTTATCCATTTCTTTTTTTCCGTATTTTTATCTAGTTTAATAATACGAGATTTTCGGTTTTGTGTCGCGAGCAAACTGATTTTCTCCCCCTTTTTCTTTTAATTTCAGCATAGTATTTTAGCTAGTAAAATTCCTATCATATTTCTCCACCTCACCTTTACCCAAAAATTCCATGTTCGATTTGAATTGTTCAAGTTGGATTTCGACGAGGTTGTGGAAGGGCGATAGAAGTATCATCTATTTAAGCCCTGTTATGCGCCAAAAGTGGTTTCCGGGTAGTTCAACGTAGCTAAGTACGCGGGAGCCTTGTCGACCTGCTTAGTTGCTGTTCTGAATTCGATTCCGATTAAAGAGAGGTAATAAAAGGGGTAGAGCCACTAGCGGAACGGTTGGAAGAATAATTCATGGGGAATAGGCGGGGGTCTATTGGGTCACAGAGATTCCTAGTGACAGTAGAGTTTCTTGCTTATAATGTTCTTCGCCGGGTGTCGCTGAAGCCTCCTTGTAAATCCCCCAATATCAAGTACCAACCGAGTCGAGAATCGGCTTAAGCGAGCAAATGCGATCACGTTCATTCCTCCGAGCCGCCCCTCAATTATACATATATTTTTCGCTATCACGCCATCGTCATCCCGCTCATTTCATCCATGGAAATCTAGCCATTAAGGACCGCTAAAGTCAGACACAAACGCCTCGCTTCATCATTTTCGAGATACGTATATTTTATCGCTTTTTAATTAGATTTAATTTTTGTAATTTATCTTTTCAGTTTCTTCAATTGCATTAACTCATTGCACTTTTTCTAATTAAATATAGGATATTCACATATTCCCTGAGTTCGACCCGGACACTCACCGGTTAAAGAGATTTTTTTATTTTGACGAAGTCTTTGGAGTTACTACACGAACACGCACGACACTATTTTCATTTTATACGTATATTATTTTTTTTTTTTGTATATTAAAAGATATTTTAAAAAAAAACTCCAAAAATATTCGATTAAATTTTGGCGCCGTTTCCGGAGAATAAGCCTAGTATCTTCGTTTTAATTGGAAAATATTGAGTTTAATGCTAATTTAATTTTAATATTGAATTTTATTTTATTTTGAACATCTAATCCATCGGAGGTATGCTTTGTAGGTTTCGAGAGTGCGATATCCTTCAAGGATCAAACCTGCACGGCAATGTATTTTTCGGAGAAAATTTAAAAAAATTAAAAAAAAAAATAAAAGGCTAGGCAACAGCCTCTGCAGTTGTGTTCTAAATACACGTATAGTAATAATCATATAATAATAATAATATTTATTATATATAACAAATAAATCATAATAAATAATAATATTACTATAATGATAAATCAATAATAATAAAATAATAGTAATAATAAGAATAAGAATAATTAGAATAAATAAAAATTAGGTTTAGGAGCCGTCGCTACCTTTTTCTCCCCTTTATATATATATATAATAAAAATATTTTTGATACAAAATAATAATAATTTTATTTTGTTGTTCATTCAGGATTCTCAAGATGATCTACTCGTTTGTTCAGATTGAATTTTAAAGCTGAAGCAGACTCTATCCTTGTGAACCAGCGGTGATGGCAAGCAGAGCGGTGACTGCAAGCGAAGCGACGTCAATATCTCTGTATGCAAGCGAAGCAGCGTAAATGTGTGTGTGCAAGCGAAGCGGCGAAAACAAGCGGGAAAAGTGAGCGGGCTGCGCGCAAGCGGAGCGGCGATTATACAAGCGGAGTCGGTATTCTATTTTTTCTTCAATTGAAGTGAGAAGCTGAACTCTATCATGTTCTTCACCCAATTTAGGGCAAAAAAATAAAAAATAAAAAATAAAAAATAAAAAAATCAATTTTTAAAATCCTAAATTGCCCACAAGTGAAGAATCCTGCGCAAAAATTGATTCCGAATTTTGGTAAGAAGAATTTCAAAGCTCTTCAAAATGGGTTAGTTCAGGTAGAATTCGATATATACATTTTCCTCTTTTCTTCCCCCATTTTCTTTCTCTCCTCACCCGAGTGGATGCACAATCCCTTTTTCCTAATTGCTCTGTCAAGTCTAAGCCCTAGCCGCCGCTGCCGCCTTCAACGTAATCTCTTTTTCCCCGACGATTGGATCCTACTGCATCACCTTCCTCAATTCTGATTGTTCCCGACTCCACTATCATTCATCTTCCGGTAAACATGGAAGAAAGGTCTATTTTTGGATTCGATTGTGACTTTAATTCCGGATATTTATTGTAGTTGTGATTAGGATTAAAATTATGTTCGAATTTTGATTTAGTTTAGATTGGAATTAGTTGTCGAGTTTGTATACATAATTGGTATTTGATCGGTGAATTGCGGACTGTTTCTAGGAAATTTGGGTAAGATGAGTTGTGAGTTTAATTCTTATGTTGATTTTAGGACTAATCGATAATTTAGACAAGGCACGAACAGCCTCCAAGGGCTGATTGTAGGTTGTGTTGAACAGATTTGATTTGAGTAATTTAGGGCATTCGATGAAAATCTGCATATAACAAGTTGTTGCTGTGCGCGTATTCTGGAATTTTCAGAATGTTCAGAAATAGATTTGACACTTAGTTTGCAATAAGTGTAAGGATGTCAATGTTTTGAAAGTCTCCGAGCCACAAAGAAGTCGAAAAGGGTGTTCTATAGCGTCATATTTTAATTGATTACATCTATATGAACCGTGCTATTTTTGAATTGTTATTTGGTGATTGCAGTCCCTCCGATTCTTATCAAGGTTGTTCGAGGGCGAACAACAATTCAAGTGTGAGGAGGGAAGTCATCGGCACCACCAAAAATTTTGAAAAAAAAAATCTGGCTGCAAGACATGAATCAGGGAAGTTTTTGATTCCCTTATCGATTATTTATGACGGCTTATTTATTGATTGCTAACTTGTTAGATAGTAGAATATGTGCTTCTTAGATAAATTAGTAGTTGTAAACCTAGTTGATTAGGATAATTTTCAGATTAGTGCTGAAGAAGCTGTGTAATATATTAGTTTGCTGCTGTTAGTTTTCTTACTTCAATCCTTAGTTATGGTTAGACAATTAGCATAGTTAGTTTGTTATTAGTCTTAGTCGCATCCTGTTAGTTCGGTTAGCACTAGTTGAGATAGGTATAGAATTAGTTTGCTTAATTAGTTAGATTTGTCCAATTCTGTATTGTTAATCAGGTGTTCTGCAATAGTTTTTAGCTGTAGATATTATGTTGTTTTAGTTCAATTTTATTTGTAGTATTCTGTATGTTAGATTAGGTTAGTATTTTGTAATTTATGTTCCTTAGCGTGTCAATGAAATAGAGTATAGTTTGTTGAATAATTACTTGATTTGGTTGGTAAGTTATGTAATTGTCTAATTAATTAGGTGAATACATTGTTGATTAATTAGTTGTTAGGTAAACTAATTTTATTCCTTAGACTTAGATCTGTTTCCGTATGTTTTATATTAACTCTTTCTTTCTTAGTCTAATCATGTGACTGTGTTTAGATACAGTTTGCTTTTGTAATTAATTATTTATTTTAGTTAATCTGGTTGGGTTAGTATTTTGTGTGAAAACTAGTAATCTAGTCCCAGAATTTTATTTATTGTTGTATGTTTTAGTCCTTTTCTTTGCTATTGCTAATTTAGTGGTCTAATTTTTATTTTGTAATTTCCTATTGCTGTAAATTTTGTAGTTTGAGTCTAATTAGTTTTGTTCCTAATTGTGTTTGTTAAGATTAATTTGGATGCAATCATCTTAATTTCTGATAATATAATGTGTATAATAATGATCCATTATTTATTTAACTACTCATATTGGTAGAATTAGTTTAGTCGCATGTTACATGCATATCTTTCTTTATTTTTATAAGCCACAATAAATAAAATAATGTGTGCTAATTAATTTATTTGGAGTTAATTTATTTTGGCTTAAATTATTCATATTTATTTTTTTATTTATGTTGTTTAATGTCGATTAATTTATTTTGTGTAATTTATTGTTGTCTAATTTATTTTGAAATAAATTATTTTATATTTAATTTATTTATTTAAAATAAAATTAGCCGTGAAATATGTTATTTTTTCGAGTCAATCGATTTTCATTGTGCTTAATTTGAGTTTGAAATTGAATCTATTCAATAATTGAAATCCTTCTGAGCATGAGTATAAATCAAGATTTTGATAAAGTTGGTTGATATCCCATTCGTTTCATTTATTCCATAGTTAGTCTAATTTGTAGAACTTTCGTCTATTTAGCTGCGCTTGTTAGCGCAGAGGATGAACGAATAGTTTCCTTAAAATGGGATTGACGAACGAATAGTGTGAGGAGGATGCCAATTATCTTTATATGCGACTTGACTTGGCACCCAAAAAAAAAAAAAAATCGACGCAAAAATGTCGAAATTAATTTATTATCGTTAGCAATGTCTACCGGGCTGCCTTGTTTCTTAATTTATGATTTATTATGGCGGTTTATTTAAAGCTTTGAGTCATCGCATCATTTTTAGAAGCTACTTCGAACACTTAAGTTTGAAAATATTTCGGGAGACATAATTTCGAATCTTTGCAGATGAGCAATATCGCGTAAATGGCTTAAGGTCCTGAACTTTAGCTAAGATTCATTTACACACTACCGTTGATATTGCCGACAATATTGGATCCTTATTTAGAAAATAATTGGTTTAATTTCATTAATTGAATTTATTCGAGGACAAATAAAGGGTAAGTGTGAGGAGTTTGATAACTCTTGATTTTGTCGTATTTTATAGCTTATATTTATTTATTTAATTATATGTTTATGTCGAATTTTGATATTATTTATGTTAATTTATTCTAATAATTGTATTCATTTCATCTTGTTTGTATAATTTTATTTTATTAGTTTTTAAGTGTTATTTATAATTATTTTGGTGTATAACTTAAATTAATTGATGTGTTTCTTGAATTATATTTTTTCGCATTATTTACGTGCAATTTAAGTATTTAATTTTAACTAAATTAATTTAATTCAATAAGTATTATTTATTTAAAGAAATATTTATAAGATGTTCATTATTTATATAGGTGAAATAATGCTTGAAAACTGATATGGGAGCCCAAAACTGGCCTTAAAAAGTGAAAAAATGGCTTCAGAAGCGAAAAAACAGTCACCGGCGTGAAAGTCAACAAAAGTTAACGGTCCACGCCAGTAAGTCAACGCGCAAAAGTCAAAGTCAACCGAGCACGGAAGACAAGCGACGGCCGCGCGGAAGACAAGCGACGGCCGCGCAGAAGGCGAGCGACGGCTAGCACGGAAGGCGAGCGACGGCTAATACGAAAGGCAAGCGACGGCTGACACGGGAAGCGATGACGGCTGCACGGAAACTTTGGCATTGAAGTGAGCAAAGCGATGGCGGCTGGCACGGAAGGCAAGCGGCGGGTGACACGGAAATATGAGCGGAGCGGAAAGCCATACGTGGAAGTGAGCGAAGCGGCGGCTGCATTAATTCTTGCTGCATTTATTGCCGCTTGTCATCGGTGCATTTACAGCGCCGCCACAATAATTCCTGCACAGAATTCCGCTGCATTTATGTCTCCTGGACCCTCAGCTCCTGCATTTACTACACTCTCCCAGCTCCGTTAATTAAAATCCTGCACTACTTTTTAGCCAATTTTTGGTTATTTTTGTGTAATTTTTATTCTAAAACCTTCTAGAAAATAGGTAGTTATAAAGTATAATGTTATAAAGTGCTTTATCATAAAAAGACAGGAAAAACAGTGTAGATAAAAAAGCGTTAACTTTATTTCCTTAAAGCACTTTTTAACATATGCAAAAAGACCTGTAATTAACTCTAGAGCACAAAGTATAATTTTATAAAGTGCTTTATAATAAATAGAAAGGAAAAACAGTGAAGAAACAAAAGCGCTAACTTTATTCCCATAAAGAACTATTTAACATATGCGAAAAGCACCATAATTAGAACTCTAGAGCACAAAATATAATCTTATAAAATGCTTTATAATAAATAGAAAGGAAAAGCATTGAAAAACAAAAGCGCAAACTTTATTCCCTTTAACCACTATTTAACATATACGAAAAACACTGTAATTAGAACTCTAGAGCACAAACTATAGTCTTATAATGTGCTTTATAATAAATAGAAAGGAAAAACAATAAACAAACGAAAGTGCTAACTTTATTCCCTTAAAGAACTATTTAGCATACACGAAACGCATTGTAATTAGAACTCTAGAGCACAAAGTATAATCTTATAAAGTTCTTTATGATAAATAGAAAGGAAAAACAGTGAAGATACAAAAGCGCTAACTTTATTCCCTTAAACACTATTTAACGTATACGAAAAGCATTGTAATTGGAACTATAGAGCACAAAGTATAATCGTATAAAGTGGTTTATAATAAATAGAAAGGAAAAACAGTGTAGAAACAAAAGCGCTAACTTTATTCCCTTAAAGTACTATTTAACATATACGAAAAACACTGTAATTAGAAGCCTAGAGCACAAAGTATAATCTTAGAAAGTGCATTGTAATAAACAGAAAGAAAAAACAGTGAAGAAACAAAAGTGCTAACTTTATTCCCATAAAGAACTATTTAACATACACGAAAAGCACTGCAATTTAAACTCTAGAACACAAAGTATAATCTTATAACTGCATTATAATAAATAGAAAGGAAAAACAGTGAATAAACAAAAGCGCTAACGTTATTCCCTTAAAGCACTATTTAACATACACAAAAAACACTTTAATTTTCTGTCTAGAGAACAAAGTATAATTTTATAAAGTGCTTTATAATAAATAGAAAGGAAAAACAGTGAGTAAACAAAAGCGCTAACGTTACTCCCTTACAGCACTATTTAACATACACGAAAAGCACTGTAATTTTCTGTCTAGAGAAAAAAGTATAATCTTATAAAGTGCATAATAATAAATAGAAAGGAAAAACAGTGAAGAAACAAAAGTGGTAACTTTATTCCCTTAAAGCACTATTTAACAATGAAAAGCACTGTAATTTGAACTCTAGAACACAAAGTACAATCTTATAAGTGCATTATAATAAATAGAAAGAAAAAACAGTGAATAAACAAAAGCGCTAACATTATACCCTCAAAGCACTATTTAACATACACGAAAAACACTGTAATTTTCTTTCTAGAGCACAAAGTATTATTTTATAAATTACGTTATAATAAATAGAAAGGAAAAGCAGTGAAGACGGAAAAACGCTAACTTTATTCCCTTAAAGAACTATTTAACATATACGAAAAGCACTGTAATTAGAAGTCTAGAGCACAAAGTATAATCTTATAAAATTCTTTATAATAAATAGAAAGGAAAAGCATTGTAGAAACAAAAGCGCTAACTTTATTCCCTTTACCCACTATTTAACATATACGAAAAATACTGTAATTAGAACTCTAGAGCACAAACTATAGTCTTATAATGTGCTTTATAATAAATAGAAAGGAAAAACAATAAACAAACGAAAGTGCTAACTTTATTCCCTTAAAGAACTATTTAGCATACACGAAAAGCACTGTAATTAGAACTCTAGAGCACAAAGTATAATCTTATAAAGTTCTTTATGATAAATAGAAAGGAAAAACAGTGAAGATACAAAAGCGCTAACTTTATTCCCTTAAACACTATTTAACGTATACGAAAAGCATTGTAATTGGAAGTATAGAGCACAAAGTATAATCGTATAAAGTGGTTTATAATAAATACAAAGGAAAAACAGTGTAGAAAGAAAAGCGCTAACTTTATTCCCTTAAAGTACTATTTAACATATACGAAAAGCACTGTAATTAAAAGTCTAGAGCACAAAGTATAATCTTATAAAGTGCATTGTAATAAACAGAAAGAAAAAACAGTGAAGAAACAAAAGTGCTAACTTTATTCCCATAAAGAACTATTTAACATACACGAAAAGCACTGCAATTTAAACTCTAGAACACAAAGTATAATCTTATAGCTGCATTATAATAAATAGAAAGGAAAAACAGTGAATAAACAAAAGCGCTAACGTTATTCCCTTAAAGCACTATTTAACATACACGAAAAGCACTGTAATTTTCTGTGTAGGGAACAAAGTATAATCTTATAAAGTTCTTTATAATAAATGCAAAGGAAAAATAGTGAGTAAACAAAAGCGCCAACGTTATTCCCTTAAAGCACTATTTAACATACACGAAAAGCACTGTAATTTTCTGTCTAGAGAAAAAAGTATAATCTTATAAAATGCATTATAATAAATAGAAAGGAAAAACAGTGAAGAAACAAAAGTGGTAACTTTATTCCCTTAAAGCACTATTTAACAATGAAAAGCACTGTAATTTGAACTCTAGAACACAAAGTACAATCTTATAAGTGCATTATAATAAATAGAAAGAAAAAACAGTGAATAAACAAAAACGCTAACATTATACCCTTAAAGCACTATTTAACATACACGAAAAACACTGTAATTTTCTGTCTAGAGCACAAAGTATAATCTTATAAAGTACGTTATAATAAATAGAAAGGAAAAGTAGTGAAGATGGAAAAACGCTAACTTTATTCCCTTAAAGCACTATTTAACATACACGAAAAGCACTGTAATTTTCTGTGTAGGGACCAAAGTATAATCTTATAAAATGCATTATAATAAATAGAAAGGAAAAACAGTGAAGAAACAAAAGTGGTAACTTTATTCCCTTAAAGCACTATTTAACAATGAAAAGCACTGTAATTTGAACTCTAGAACACAAAGTACAATCTTATAAGTGCATTATAATAAATAGAAAGAAAAAACAGTAAATAAACAAAAACGCTAACATTATACCCTTAAAGCACTATTTAACATACACGAAAAACACTGTAATTTTCCGTCTAGAGCACAAAGTATAATCTTATAAAGTACGTTATAATAAATAGAAAGGAAAAGTAGTGAAGATGGAAAAACGCTAACTTTATTCCCTTAAAGCACTATTTAACATATATGAAAAGCACTGTAATTAGAACTCTAAAGAACAAACTATAATCTTATAATGTGCTTTATAATAAATAGAAAGGAAAAACAATAAACAAACGAAAGTGCTAACTTTATTCCCTTAAAGAACAATTTAGCATACACGAAAAGCACTGTAATTAGAACTCTAGAGCACAAAGTATAATCTTATAAAGTTCTTTATGATAAATAGAAAGGAAAAATAGTGAAGATACAAAAGCGCTAACTTTATTCCCTTAAACACTATTTAACGTATACGAAAAGCATTGTAATTGGAAGTATAGAGCACAAAGTATAATCGTATAAAGTGGTTTATAATAAATACAAAGGAAAAACAGTGTAGAAAAAAATGCGCTAACTTTATTCCCTTAAAGTACTATTTAACATATACGAAAAGCACTGTAATTAGAAGTCTAGAGCACAAAGTATAATCTTATAAAGTGCATTATAATAAACAGAAAGAAAAAACAGTGAAGAAACAAAAATGCTAACTTTATTCCCTTAAAGCACTATTTAACATATACGAAAAACACTGTAATTGGAACTCTAGAGCACAAAGTATAATCCTATAAAGTGCTTTATAATATAAATAAAAAGCAAAAATAGTGAAGATACAAAAGCGCTAACTTTATTCCCTTAAAGTACTATTTAACATATACGAAAAGCACTGTAATTAGAAGTCTAGAGCACAAAGTATAATCTTATAAAGTGCATTATAATAAACAGAAAGAAAAAACAGTAAAGAAACAAAAATGCTAACTTTATTCCCGTAAAGAACTATTTAACATACACGAAAAACACTGAAATTTAAACTCTTGAACACAAAGTATAATCTTATAACTGCATTATAATAAATAGAAAGGAAAAACAGTGAACGAACAAAAGCGCTTACGTTATTCCCTTAAAGCACTATTTTGCATACACGAAAAACACTGTAATTTTCTGTCTAGAGCACAAAGTATAATCTTATAAAGTACGTTATAATAAATAGAAAGGAAAATCAGTGAAGATGGAAAACGCTAACTTTATTCCCTTAAAGCACTATTTAACATATACGAAAAGCACTGTAATTAGAACTCTAGAACACAAAGAATAATCTTATAAGTGGTTTATAATAAATTGAAAGGAAAAACAGTGAATAAACAAAAGCGCTAACTTTATTCCCTTAAAGCACTATTTAACGTACGCGAAGAACTCTGTAACTTTCTGTCGAGACCACAAAGTATAATCTTATAAAGTGCTTTATAATAAATAGTAAGGAAAAGCAGTGAAGATACAAAAGCGCTAACTTTATTCCCTTAAAGCATTATTTAACATATATGAAAAGCACTATAATTAGAACTCTAGAGCACAAAGTATAATCTTATAAAGTGCTTTATAATAAATAGAAAGGGAAAACAGTGAAGATACAAAAACGCTAACTTTATTCCATTAAAGCACTATTTAACATATACAAAAAGCACTGTAATTAGAACTCTAGAACACAAAGTACAATCTTATAAGTGCATTATAATAAATAGAAAGGATAAACAGTGAACAAACAAAAGCGCTAACATTATACCCTTAAAGCATTATTTAATATACACGAAAAGCACTGTAATTTTCTGTTTAGAGCACAAAGTATAATATAGAAAGGAAAAGCAGTGATGATGAAAAAACGCTAACTTTATTCCCTTAAAGCACTATTTGACATATACGAAAAGCACTGTAATTAGAACTCTAGAACACAAAGAATAATCTTATAAGTGCTTTATAATAAACAGAAAGGAAAAATAGTGAATAAACAAAAACGCTAACTTTAT